TTATTAATACGTTGTAAGCCCTTCTTAAAGAAAAAAAAAACCTGATTATCTATCCGGGACTGCTGTCCCGGACAGACAATTAGGGGCGAAGCAAGCTTTGCCACTCTTGTAAGCTGTTTAAATTTAATAATATTATTTGATGGATTTTAACCTGCCAAAACCACGATATGACTATGAGGGACGCTGTATAATAGAGGGCTCCATTTCGACCACCCAGGGTTCTTCGACGTGCACCTAAGCCTAATCACACAGGCCTCGAGAATTTTCGCCTCCATCGAAAATGTGGTCGCCGCGGCTTGTGAGCTGTTTCGAAGCGCACAGGCTTACAATAATATTAATAGTCGTTGGGGTCCTACATCGCAAATTCACGATACGGTTACGAGAAACGCCACAGTGGAAGGTTCCGCTGATTTCGACCCCATGGGCTCCCAAAATGCCCAACGAAATACAAATGCACGGGCCTCGAGTATTTTCGCCTCGATCAAAATGCAGCCACGGGATTCGATCCCGCGACCTTTGGATCAGCAGTCTAGTGCCAATGACCTTGAGAACAGCGCGGCGGGTAGAACAGATACATATTCACAAGAAGAATTGATAAAGTACCGTTCAGGTGTGTATCCTTCACAGAACGATATACTAACAATTTTATCTTGATCCTTTGAAGAGGCGTAGGTACTATCCGGCCAACGTCAGAACAGGGAAGCCGTGCCTCTCTGCTTGCTCACGGGAAAACGACTAAATTCAGTGATGATAAGAATAACTTAGGACTTGTATAATAATTGACAATTAGTTCATGTTATTGTTTGTATGGAAATTGTACAAATTCATGTATGTATTTCTTTTATGCTCCCCTTACACAATGGCCCGATGGGTCTGTAAGGTATTTTGAATAAATAAATAATAATTGATGAGGTTTAACGTACCAACACCAGGATGTGATTGTGAGTGGCTTCGTGGTGATTAACTCCGCAAATTTCGACCACCTGCGTTTCTCTAACGTGCACCTATATCCAAGTACACGGGCCTCCAGAATTTTCGTCTCCATCTAAAATGTGGCCGCCGCGACCGAGATTTGATCCCACGACCTTCGGGTTGCAATATATTGCCATAACGACAAGACCATCATGGCGGGTAATGAGACAAATTTCGAACTTGCATGTGGAAGTATCGAGAATGTCTAGGTTTCTCTGGTTTCAAGTGTTCTCTAAACTCATTGATTGATTATTGATATGTGTGGTTTAATGTCCCAAAACCACCATATGACTATGAGAGACGCCGTAGTGGAGAGCTCCTAAAATTTCGACTGCCTGGAGTTAGTTCTTTAACGTGCACCCCAATCTGAGCACACAGGCCTACATAATTTTCGCCTCCATCTTCTCTAAACTTGTGTCTCTGGCAACCACAGCAAGCAGATGGACCATTTTTTCGTAAGACAATGGGGCGCCGCACTCTTGGCCTGTTGAGCCGTTGTTCTCTTGTTTTCGTATATCGCGATGCGAATTAATGAGACCATGAAACATCGTACGCACCAACCCAACCACTTTGGCGTGCATGCGTCTTCTGTCACACTGTCCGTTTAGCTGTTGAAGATACAAAGTACAAAGGTTACCAGCACAACACGACGCACCCAACTCCACCCGTAAAATAGCGTATAGGTCATAAAAAACATGCATGAATGATATGAACCATGCCCAGTCGAATACACGGCCGAGCACAAACTGACACTGCAAACTTTGCGTTTCGCATGAGTATGGCTATCGACTGCCTCTAACAGCCGCACCCAAACGGGACGTCAATCAGAGCGTTAGAGCGAGACGACCTAGCGATGCGCTCGTATATACCTGCACGGTGAGTCACCTCTCGTGGGGGCTGGGGGGATATTAGGTGACGAGTTTGATGTCGATAGCAGTCCTTTGGCGTATTACGTGAGTCACGCGCACATTACGCGAAGCGGCGACGCGGTCGACGACATCATGTTCGACGCTTTCCTGAAACGAAGGAAGGACGCGGCGCCACAGACGTCGGCGAAATGACGTCGATGAGAGATGGTGAGCCGCGGTGCCGTTTTATGTTTGTGAGTTACGTGTGAGTATGTTTTATTCGCACACAACCTACCTTTATCTAAAGATATTTTGTTGAGAGCCACAGAAAGCATTTTTTATTCATCGTAGATAAACTGTGCTACGCAGTTCTTGAAGTACTTTCTGACTTCGAATAGTCTGACGTGTACATAGACCATACTCTTAAGCCGTAGGTTCCAAAGCTTCCGACTGTGCATAAATTATTCTTCCATTAATGTGGAACAACCCAGTGACGACGATTATTCACCGGCGATATTCGTGCTTACTGAAAGACGAAAAGACGCCTATAACATCAAGGACAAAAAATAGGAACAAGACCGAAAGGGCGACCCCTGAATTTTCCTGCCTTAGTGGTAAGCCTTTTTTTTCGTCCTTCAGTAAGCATGAACAAATTAGCCCGACAAAAAGTTTTCTTAAGTGATATTCATGTTATCGCGAAATAAAATGACCTTGGTTTATCCTTTGTTATTCGCCGGTTCAATTTACAAAATTTCTGCTTGAGCTTATGCCAAGGAATTGAACGTCCTTACATGGCTTATCGTTTTAAACACTTCATTTATTGCAAAATATCCTTTCAATAGCGCTTACGACGAGGGTATTACATGGAAGGGGAGAGGGGAAACATCGGTTGCAGGCTATGCATTTCAAAAGTTCAAACAAAAGCACAAGATAAGTATAGAGAATCAATCTACTAAACTCATTCGCACAAAGATAAGAAGCCCTAAAAAGCAACCGAAATTACTTAAATATAACCACAGAGCACAAGAAAAAAAAATTGAAGCGCTAAGACTTAGCGGCCATTTGTGCGTGATTGAGACTCTTAAAATTTGTTAAAATTCTTCTCCTATCACAATGGATTTCATTAACCTCAATGAGCATAATGACAAGACTGGTAGTTGGTGCTTTTGAATTTATAAGATCAGGACACGGGAGTATAACTAGTGGTGGTTCAAAAATAAATATCGTAAAGTGAAGGATGGTGGTAAAGTTTATGGAGCAATGATAACCGGACAATTTTACGGTGTAACGCCAGGATACCCATAACTGAACTCTTTTGAGTAACGAGGTGACGCTTTTACAAACACGATGAAATTCAGCCTTTCAGATTAAAATATCAAACTTTTTTTCTTAGAAAATACAGTTTTACACTTTCAGAAATGTGAAAGAACGCCAGGTAGTCAAAATTTCCGGGGCCTTCCACTACAGTGTCTCTCATATTTACATCGCAGTTCTGGGACGCAAAACTTGACACACTCTACCACACTCGTTTCAGCAACGAGATTGGGCATCAAAAGCTGGTATGTCCCTGAACAATCTTCAGGTGTAAAATCGGCTGTAGACGTTATGTGAAATTGCTGTCATCTGTCAGCCATTGTGTGCATGCCACCATGTTAGAGGCTCAGAGCGGCGCAGTACGCCCAGTCCACGTGTGTTTACGTATATGTAAGGCGTATCGACGGGAGGCGGGTATTGATTAATAGACCTAATGCCGACGTATTGCTGGGTCTCTTGCGGCACACAAAGATGAACTTGAAATGCTGAAGGAAGAAAGATAAGCCGTAAACTTTGCCTTTTACCCTACTGAAACGTTCCGTATGCGACGCCCAATAATTCCGTGTTTCCGCAAGAATCTTACGCAAATATAGGGAATATATATAAAAAATATACGGAAAACATATGGAATGATTGGACTCTCATACGGAAAGTTTCAGATTCTTCCAAGCTGATCACGTTTCCAGCATGTGCTCCGGCTACTGCTCCCGAAACACGTGTTTGCGCTCTCCTTTCCAAGCAAGTGAGACGAGCAATAGCATTTGTATCCGTGTTTCCGCAAATTGCTGTACGCCGAAGCAAGACAGTTTTCGCGACGTTTTCGCTATCATCCGTTTAACAAGTGAAGGCAACTCGTACGCTTCAAGCAGAAACCACGGGTTCAGGCAACGAGTTTTATCGCAGCTGATTGCGCGCATTTACATTTACGCCTACGTTCTTTTCCCATGCTCGGTCAAAACGAATATTTCATTGCATTTATGTGCGACACACTCACCAGACCAGCTTAACGTTTTTGCATGCTAAGAAATTGATATAACACTTTAGTTTGCCATGTCATTTGATGGATGCATTTTTAATGAATTACAGTGAAACGCAGAAATAGCGAGCCATGAGGAATTCACAAAACAGTACACATATACGTAAGTCCATATAAAAACATTTCATATATCGAAAATATATTCGCGGGGATATTGCAACTGTTCGATACACCCAACAATTCGTTATATGTTTGTTTGACTTGTGGGGTTCCGACTGTTTCCGAAAAATCTTTACTCAAACTGTGCCTTCTGCAGCATGCGATGAATCGCATGGGCATTAATTCCCGATTGGCACTTCTTCCGGTCCCGCCACCTTTGCAAGTGATACAGCTGTCCTAAGCTTCTGGCACAGGGTCTCGCGAAAAGCTTTAGCGTGAGAAAATTCTTGCGAAATGCGTACAGGGCTGCTGAGAACGCTTCATGCGCAGTTACTCTGCCCAGACCGCCCATAAGAGGCAAATCCATGGAGGTGCTTTTAAACAAATTTCGACTTTTTACGCCATAAGAAATGCCCGCAGACCACTCACGCGAATGCATGAAGTATGTACTCAATGGATAGATAAATAACATATTTTTTTCGTAAATATTACCGCGGAAATGTGAGTGTCGTTCATCGTCTGACTTGCTTCTGGAGGTGTCTGGAGTCGGCTATGGTGTAATACAATGATACGCACAAAGAACAAGTACTGTGCCACACACAAGTGTACATGAAAGAGTTGTTCCTATAAGCTTTTCTTTAGGCGAGTAGTTCCCAAACACACCAACGTAGACGCTTTTGTTACGTGAGAATGCGATATAGAATAGCGATGTGCCAGCGTTGCCACCTCACCTGAAAGCGAAGACCTGCGTGGAGACGTCGAAGGCAGCCGAGTGACGAATACGGCGTCGACCGCCCGGCTTGCGAAGCGACGATCCCAAGGTTATCCGCACCGGCGACGGAAAACACTACCACCCGTCGGCTTCCTTTTCGCACTCTTTCTCTCAGACGTTTTGTTTATTTTAGAATTCTGGCTTGCACGCCCCGTGGACGGACGTGTCTTGGAGTCCTCTCCTGCAAGGGGCATTCCCTCGCACCAACGCACGCACGCACAAGCCTTGCTTGCTTTGTTTTAAAAGGGACGCTGCAAGACTCGTCGATGCACCCCTTCTTCGAATACATTCTTTCTCTCTTCGACTCTCTTACCTGGCCTCAACATTGTTTCTTGTCTTCGTTCTTTTGTTTCGGACGCTACTCGCAAAGCTCTCGTTCCGTAAACCCTTCCTCGCCAAACCTGTACACGGACCGGCTCGCACATTATTCACGCACGCCACAGCTGTAGCAGACGACGCTGTCAGAGAGAAGGTGCGCATAATATTCGAGTACACAACGACTGCTAGCAGACGACGCGGTCGGCAAGAAGAAGAAGCAGCCAGACGATCTCTGGCGGGCGTTCAAAAGAATGGCGTCTTTCTCCAGCGTGACCAGGGAGTCAATTGGGGTCGCGACGAGCGTATACGGGTCCGGTGCGCAATCGCGCGCTCATGGCAATATCGTTCCCGGTACGAGGAGGCTGCCTTTAAAACAACAGGTGGCTGGATGAGAGCACCCCCCCTGCATAGTGAACGAAGGTTGTACAAACGCGAGTTGTTCTTCCGGCACAGGTGCTGTCATACCATGCGCGGCCGTTATGGATGGCACGCGCCAGGCAAGAGATGCCTGCTAGTTCTTCGATGCGTGGCCGTGGAGCAGGGAAGCCGTACGTGTATAAGCGGTGGAGGCGACGCCTTGGGAAGAAAATTGCGCGATGTTTTTTTTTAATTGGCATCTCGTTATCCTTCGGGCTTCTCGGTTTCAACACGGGGACGAACGGCGTAGGCGTTCCTCTCTCATGACACCGGCTTGATACAAGGAAGTTCCAATTATCGATGAGTCGAAGATGTTGTGTACGTCTATAGGTCTTTCATCTTTCCCACCTTAGGCGTCGGGTCGTTGTTGTGGTTGTGGTCATTTCCACTGTTGATCGTCCCTGCTGTTGTTGTTAATTAGCACTGCTTATCGCGTAAACGGATGGTCATTGAAGGAGGTACGCTCCGATAATCGGTATCAGAGACGTGAATAGATGTATAGAAATACACACACGACATTACAACCAAAGTAGGCGTAGAAAGAAAGTGTGGGAATGCCGTAAGAACTGAATGAATTTACCTATCAGTCTTCATATATCCCCTTCAGGAGCGAATTAAGATGCACTGCCCGAAAAAAAAAAGAACTAAACTTGCACGATTGCGAGGCACCTGATATCACATTTCATGAAATGAAGTGATATGTCGTTTTGTGCGAATTTAGCCGATTAATTTTAATCGGCGAGTACTTAAATATTCAGCTATTCAGGGCTTAGTTGTGTTTCATTTTCACATAGAAAGAATGAAATCAAAGGCTCCCGATGCAAGCGCAATTTCTCTTTGGTTACAAGAATTTAGAGCCGTAAAATGATAATTTTGTCATTATTTTTGGAACACGGCACAACTAGCGGCCCATCAAACGTCTTAGGGCCTTCACCAACGTGCTATGTCCATGTCAAGGTACATTTACTATGCAGAAATTCAAGTTACGAACAATATATTCTGCTCTTTCCTGGCCTCTCGATTAATGAAGTTGATAATGTTTCCAGGTGATTTATCACCCTAAGCCACGATAGTCTCTTGAGGTGCAAATATTTAGAAAACATTTTAGCATAGAAGATTTCGTTCAAGTGTGGTATCTATTTTCATGTTATTTCATCGCCATGCTTATTGATTTACTCATTTCTCACTTCCAGATCAGTGGGCTTAGGCTCACAGTATCCAATAAAAAACGAATAAACATAAGTATGCAAATTGCCCCTGAAGAGGTTATTCCATCGCATATAGTGCTCACTCGTTACGAACAAAGTGAAAGTCTCTATCACTCTTGATCATCTCGTTTTTTTAAGTTTCAATATAACAGATGCTACAGAAAAATTAATAAAGTAGTAATAATAACACGTCTTACAGTGAGGTCATGAAAGTCCTCCTGTATGTGTGGCATTCTGTAAAAATTAAAGCGGTCGACAACAGCCATTCAGTAGAAATTTGTCAATAAATATTTATCAGAAAGAGTCACGTTGGCACATATGTCTAATCCTCGTTGTAAGCTAGATATTCCCAAAGCTCCTACAGAACCTTTGCAAGATAGACCGCGCAAAGGACTGTAAATAGTCTTTGGACATTCAAGATTTTGTTTATTGTCGCCTTCATCCTCCAAAACACTTTCTTTCTCTCTCTTTTCCACCACTTCACTTCCATAAGACTGAGTAGCAGGTATGATCGCTGAACCTGTTCGTATGCTCACCATGCAATATAGAGAGAGAGAGACAATCTGACCTAGGTCAGAACGTTTATTCAGAACGACCGCTCAGTTTTTATACCCCTATAAATCTCTCTCTCTCTCTCGCCGTCTCCCTTCCGGATAGTGAGCCTACGAACGGGGTCAACAATCAGGTCACTCAAAACAAAAGCCGAAATCTCCCAACTAAATATGCATCAGAGGCGCAAATGGAAGGTAGTGAGTTCGAATCCCACCGACAGAAAAGGTGAACATTTTGTCCACTTTATTTTCTCTTTATACTGTGTTACAATTGCTACATTAAATTTAAACAAAACAATCAATGTCAGATTTGCTACCATTCGCGTAACTATGTTGGATTCACTGGGTTGTGTCTTGCTCCATGTGGTTCCCACATTCCTGCCGTAAATGCGCGCTATAGCATACGCTATTTGTATAAAAACGCGCACTGTTTATTTTTACACGAATACGGCATTGCACGAACATGGCGTGCATACGAGTTCTGATCTTGTAGAGGCATGACTTACACAAAATCAGCAGAGAAATAGCAGTGCATTTCGCCAAGGTGCCATTGTTTGAGATACGAAAGCTGATTCGGAATGTTTTTCAACGGCGTGCTTTTATCCATATTCAAAGTGCGAATTCGAACAGTAGTGCACAAGTGACAGAGTAAAAGCCGGGAGATGTATATTACGTGACGGCTTCTCATAGATGATCATCATCATCAACCTAATCTCGCCCACAGTAGCTTAAAAGCCTCTCCCATGTTTCGCCAATCGACCCGGCCTTGTGAGTTATCAAACCTCTTTGTACCTGCAAACTTCGCAATCTCAGCTGTCCACATAATTTTCTGTCATCCTCTAACGCGTTTGCCTTCTCTTGAATATAATGAGTTACCCTTAATGACCAGCGGCAAAATGCAACCCTACAGTGCACAGCACACCTATATGCAGTACGCAAACACAACCGACGACACATTATCGCATGCCTGTACACGTACAGCATATTCCGGAGTACAAACTACACACACAGGGGAATACAGTACGTTACATATACAATACAGGCAAAACGTACGAATAGAAGCACAGTTCAAAGATGTGCCTTTGTTGAATAGCGAACTATTAAGGCGAAAGCAACAGATGCCTCTATTCGCAGGATTTGGAGACAGTAAAGGTAGCATATAGAGTAACTCAAAGGGACATCTTTACATGGCGCCATCTCTCGGCGGCACCAGCGGTGACCTGCTGAATTGGAAGTATTAAGGAATCGTATCTGTCAAAAATTCAAGTAATCAAAAATTTTCCCGGTTATATGCAGCAGAGGCACCCTGGAGCATTCTGGTAAAATTGGAGCATTGTATTACCACGGCCGCTGGATCCAGCGGCCGTAGCACTACAAGGCATGTGGTTTCCCAAGACAATTAAACACCGTTCATTGGAAACGCATAGTGGCCTATTGTTAATTAGTATATACTCTGGAAAGCCACACCGTTAATATTATGACACTGCAATTTTACCACAATGTTTCAATGGGCCCCTGCTGTATAGAACCGGGATTTGTGGTGTTGTTAATACGAATGACGAAAAAAAAAGACACGTAATCGGAGATTACGGCTTGCTGACGTCACCATCATCACGACGCCGCAAAAGACCAATAATTGTTTTGCCATTATGACGCCAAGTGACTACGTCATCGCACAATGTCCTCACCCAACCGCGGCAGTCTAGTGGCTAAGGTACTCGGCTACTGACCCGCAGGTCACCGGATCAAATCCCACCTCCCGCTCCATGGCACCCACCCCCTGGCTAAGGGCCCGACTGCACCCACAAGTGGCGTTAGAGAAGCGCTAAGGGCCACAACTGATGTAGGACGATCATCGCAACAACTGCTGATGCAATGCACGTGCTTATGTATCACGAGGTTGTTTTCTAAGGGTCCTTTCAGTCCGCACGTCTTTTTTCAAATGCGAAGCATTTCTTAGCGGACTTCAGCGAATTTGAGCGTATCTATCTATCTAGCCGCTTACGTTTGAGTGCTCTCGTGGTCACCCCGTTAACTTCGTGTGAAGCGAAATTAGCGTGGGAGGGTAAGATGGTTTGACGAATATCGCGCGCTGGTCAAAACATGAATAATGTCACAATCCCTTTGCGTACGTGGTCAAACACTTCCCGCCAGACAGTGGCACATATCCACGGGCAGGCGTGGGCCGCTGGTATGTGGGTATGTGCCACAGGTTATTGAAACCTAGTATCTACCTAAAAACGACGAGAACACACATGGGCAGGTGACACACATATGTAGCGTCGACCCGACGAATGCAAAAAATAAATGTCAGGGTCCCAGCTGAAATCAAACCCAAGCATTCTGCGTGGCAATGAAGCATTTTACCACAGAGCTACGCCAGTTCTCGGAGTTAATCTTCGTAAAACGTCAATAGTTGTTGCAGTGCTGCCTACCCAACTTTATAAATATTACACATGTACTCCTTTCATATATCCGTCACGTCGGGTTCACGTCAATTGTGGTTAGTTGGCATGCGATGAAGTTGATTTATGTGGCACTGTTCAGGACCAGCATCCTCGCGAGCGAGCATCAGCGCTTCTTATCAGCTTTAGTGTTGCTAATACGCATGTTTCAGTTGGCATCATTGCGCAAGTGGAAATAACTGGTTACACAAACATCTGCAACTTTTCAACATATGTCTGTGCGTGCAACGTTTTCACATAT